TTTATATCACCGGAGTTATTCAATTATTTTCGCCGATCATCAGGTGAAGCGATACTTTTTTCCAGTGACTGTATCTCGCTTTAACGGACAAATTTCTTCAAATAAAATATCCGTTAATTGATATTCACTATGTGATTGATTGGTGTAATATATTGGACTTTTACTGAGATTATTTAAACAATAAAGTAGGAATTATGTAAAAAAACAAATCGAAAGGATAAAAGAAGAGCTAGTGCTGGTCGCCAAAACTATTTTGAAGAAGCAAAAGTCAAAACTTAAATTAAAAGTTATATGTGTAAAGAAAAAGGTTTATGGAGAAAATTTGTAACATTCGTTTTACTAAGGGAAAATAATAAAAATCCTTTTTTTCTATATAATAAATATTCTTAAAAGTAAAGGATGAAATTAATCTCTTTTTTTTTACATTAATTAGTATCATTTTTAGCTGCTTGTTATTTGTGGTGTTGATTGCTATATATATATATATATATATATATATAGATTAATTATTTTCTAAAAGCGTCCAAAGTGGCTTGGGAATTCATTGATAAACATATTTGAAATGTTGTTATTTGGTATTATTAGTTCTGAAGAAGGTGTGTTGTTTATTTATTAATGAACCAGATATGCTTTTTTTTGTGATGATGTTTTTTATTTTTTATCTTTTTTGTAAATATTTTATTGTGATCGAAACGTGTAGCAAGATTTATCATGTCTTCTAGATAGGTAATTATTATAAGATTCTCTATCATAATAAATAAACAATTAGTATATTTGCTTTTATAGCCGTTATTAAGCATAATAAATAATCATAAGAAATTGTCGAGGGCAAAGAAAAGCAGTGTGACCATTAAATATGGAGGAAAAAGGCACCTAGACTATTTGGAAAGCAATTCAATATGCAGTATGATTATCGGAAATTTACACTTTATTATTTAAAACACCGCAATCATTCTCACCCTTTCCTTGTGTATATAAGCTAAGCTGATCTCATCCGCCCACGATTGGATGATGGAATTAAACTCCAGGAAGCGTATGGCTCTGGAATCTATTGAAACTGCATCACTGTCAAGGACACTTGCGTGAATCCTGGTCCTCCCTTGCAGCACTTGGACTAGCATCACCCAGATAAGAATGAAGGCCGAAAAGTTGCCTCCAACAATCCTACTTCTAGGATAAAGATGGTTCTGTAACAAAGAAGTTGTAACTTGTTTAAAGCCCGGGAGGTTACAATACAGAGTAGAGTTGGGACTGAATTTCATTGAAATTGCATTTGGGCTCTGACATTAAGAGGAAAGCCATAAAGTAAAATAGTTCAAATTTTGTTTGGTAAATTAATTGTTTTCCTAAATTCCCTCTTTCTGATAATTTATTATTTATTTAAATGGGACAGGAGACTTAAGCCTCTCCTAAATAGTTCCCTACCCTAGGTTCAAGCTTTTGTTGGTGAATAGTCGTGTCACCAACAATGCAACAACCCAGTAGCCTGATGGAATGGTGCTCAAGGCTAACCAGGTTGCAACCTCCTGAGTCGCAGAATTTACAAATCAATTTCAGGCACCAATTTTATACTAGGGGGAGGAGTAAATAAATCAAATATCACACAATGGCAATAGCCAAGCCTGGTCTGTAATAAATATGAGGCCTATCTTACAGCAGCCCACGTGGAGGTTGTTGAAACCTTCATCACCACCTGTAGAAAAAATTCCACATAAGGCTCCAAACGAATCGAATCGAGTCGAATTTTAAAGTGATTCAATTCGGTTCGATTCGAATTCAAAAAAACTGGATTCAATTCGAATCAAATCAGGTCCCAGAATTTCTTTTAATGCCATATCAATATTATTAATAAGGTTAATTCGAATGATTTGTCTTATTCGTTATGAATTTAAGTATTCGAATTACATTGAAAGTTTAGTTGAATAAAACGAATAATTCGAATAAAAATCTGTATTATGAATAGGAACTCTAGTTCTAAACAATTAAACCCTATTGTTTAATTCCGACTACAACAATGTTTTTATTAAACAAAAAGAATTAATTTGTAAAAATGATTGTCATAGAAATGAATTAACAATTTTCTGTTACTTTTATGATAAAGACTCGTAAATGTTAATTAATTAATTAATAATTGATTAAGTAGTTACTAGCTAATGATAGGTAGTTCATAGTCCATACATAGTCATTAGTAATTTCCCGCTTGGTCAAAAAGCTATCAAAAAATTAATTTCTTAGGTTTCACTAATTTAAAAATTTTATTGTTTATATGGTTGGCTCGGTCTAAAGGCCTTCTATTGTTGTCTCACGCGCTCATTTTTCAAAAGTAGCGATTTTGTGGTTCGTTTAAAATTTTTTTTTCAAAAATTGATTTTAATTTTAAAAATTAATCTAAATTTTAATAATGATCATACATTAAATCAACCAATGAGGCTATTTTTTAAAAAGGTAGTACAGAAAGTGACTTCTATTAAAAATTTTGGAAGTCTCTAGACTTGGAAATTTTATCAAAGTGCTGGCCAATCATATTGCGAACATGTGACCAGTGTTCACCCGTCCTTACATTATCACGACCTAATTATTATGAGATTACAACTTGTAATAATTGGAAAATGTATGTCTAAATATATTTATGACATTATGTCATTACGGCACGACAAAGTTATAATAGCTTGGGCTGCATGTATACACAGGATAGAAAAATTGATGAGGGCAAATATGGCAGGAAAAAACGCAAAGTTGCAAGGATCTATAGTCAGTTCCTTTTTGCAGTTTGAACTTACTGTAGTTCATAAAAAAACAAAAGATAAATTTATTTCTTAATCACCGACAAAGAATAAAGAAAATTTGACATTTTTATTGATGACGGTCAAATGCAAATTACCATATTTAGGAATAATTTTCCTAAAAGAACTTATATCTTTCCCGACTATATTTTTCTAATAGAAAAACTACCGGATCAAAAACAGCTATCATGTTAAACCGTTCATTGCTGATGAAGATGTTGAAAAAGCAGCAGCAGAATATAAAACAATGCTTCAAGGAACAAAAAAGAAAAGCTTGATGCTAAATTTATTAAATTTATTTGGTTGTTAGCAGGTATAAAGAATTAAAAAGAAAAAACATATTAATAAGAATCCTTTCTTTCCTTAGACAAGCTTAAGTATCCGAGTATCATTATACAAGGAGCAATTGTTCCTTCTTTAAAATGCCTCTGGTTGTACCATAATTTTTGGGTTACATGGAAATTAATTTCGTATTATTATATTAATATTAATATTAATATAGGAGTAGTTCCTAGGAAAAAAACAAGTATAATAAATAGGAGATTTAAAAGTTCTCAACCACTTCTAAACTAAAACTATATTTATTCATAATATTTGTTATTTCAACGAATTATGATTAAGTTTGTTGGAACGCGATAAATAATTGTTTATTTAGTTGACATAAATTAGCTATGAAATTTAAGTTAATTAAAATTCTTTAATACAAATCAAATAACAAACAAGATTTTGTTCTCCTTAACTGAGAAATCGAGAAACAAATAAAATTAATGTTCGCTAAAATAAACAATTTTCATTTTAATCGATAAAATAAAATGCCTAAAAATATGGTCAATATCTCCGTACTTTCGGCACGGTATTCTCAGTATCAGGATCCCCCGGATTATTATAATTCCGTCTTTTGCTGGAAGTTACATGAGACTTTTTAATAAATGGTGTGACTATTTTGGGTATAGCAAAAAAATTTATTACAAGTCATATTAATATCCAAAATCAGGTAAAGAAATTTTTGTCATACCGAAATCATGAGCAACAAAAATTTTAAAATAGAAAAATAGGCAAGGGTTAAATTGCAATTGATATAGAAAGTTTAGTGCCTTTCCATTTTAAGAACTAAATAAATTATTGACATAAATTTATTATTGTTATATACAAAGAGTGAACAAAATAATGTCAATATGAAAATATCACGCCACTTTCAAACTTTTACAATTGTTATATGTCATATTAATATATGGGTAATAACACATGTACTAGTTACACGCTGAAATTTACACACTGACTGCTACCATAACTTATTTCCAGAAACTCAAAATTCGGATAATTGTGTTACGTGATGGAATCCTAAATAATTTAGTCAAGTGTCTCGTTAGGATTTGTGCTGCTGCATAGTAGCGGATAATATTTATCCATCAGTACTATAGTGTCTATAATTATAATCGAGTTACACAAAAAGGTGTTATTTTTAAAATTACCTTTATTATAGATGGGCGTCTAAATTGTTTTTGGTGTTGTCTAAAGTCAAAATAGTATTTAGACAAAAATGTCTAAATGTCTAAATTAATATAAATAATAATGATTTGCTTTAAATACAACTAAAAGTCATGTGTATATACAAAATCCACAAAGTTCAGTAAATTATTCAATAAAAAAATTCAATTCAGCATTTTAGACGATTGAGACCATGATTGTCTAAATGTCTAAATTAATTTATATTTTAGACATTGTCTAAATAATTTAGTTTAGACACCCATCTATAATTATTAATAATGAAACCTTTTTTTTTAAAAAAGCAGTTTATACCATTATTATAATGTTAGAAGAGGAATTCTCAATTGGTTCATTTTGCCCCAGATCCACATACATGATACATTCTAATACTGTGTTGGGGTGTCCCACATCATATGATTTACAAACATAGTCGATCGATCACATATATAAATTTTCATTTTTTAGAGGTTTTGCGGATTTATTATTTTTTTTTTTGGTACCACAAAAAAATTATTTTACTAGCAGTTCAAGATATAATAACCAAACACAACTTTGATTAGAATAATTATTATTATATAAAGAAGTTATGAGAAATTGTATAATAATATTTTTAACGGCTGTAAATTGTTTGTTTGGCTAGTACTATATAGAGATTATAAAATTTAGATGTAACACTAAAATTTAGTCAAAATATATATCAAAAATCGAAATAACTCTTAAACTATACGACGTATCTAAATAAAATGACATGGTTTGGATTCGCATTTTGATGCTATTTATGCATATAGAGAGCTTTTTACAGTTTTATTTGCATAAAATTTTGTATCATATATACATAACTTTCCTTTTTTCTTTTAGCTTAAAATAAGTAATATGATTTATATTAAAATTAAAAAAAACTCTCTATAGGGACATTGCCCTATCCTTCTAATATATTTTAAACTTTAATTTGGAATCTGTACCTCTATTCTTTAAAGAGTTATTTTCGTTCAAAGTTTACTATTAAAAAAAAGATTGATGAAAAATCATCCTTAATAAAAATTTATATATATGTGATCGACTATGTTTGTAAATCATAATATGTGGGACACCCCAATATTGTATGTAGATCTAGACAATGTATAACAATAAACTTCAAACCTCCAAAGCTTTTTTTTTTATTAAGACACTGTTACTTAGAGATTTTTGTTCCTGCTTTTTATATTTAATAAATCGATAATTATTGGTGTTTTTGGATAGTCGATCTCTCAAGGAAGCATATCAGGAAAATGACAAAAAAAAAATTGAAATTTGTCCCCATATCCTTATCTTTTATTGTATATTCTACGCAAATCCCATTTTTGTCGATAATCCCAATCCACGCAGGTTATATAAAATATTTATATTGTGGCTTAGTATTAGTTTTTACTGTTTCGAGATACAAACATTGAAACAATGGTAATAATGGTAAATAAACTCTTTGAGATTCTTTGATTGTTTTCTTTTTTCTGAAACATTAATCCTTTTTTCAGAAAAAATCACGTTCTTAAGTACGGAAAATTCAGAATAGTGGATTTTAATGCAACTGCCCTATAAAAAATCACATACTGTAAATGTACCGTTTTTCCATAAAAAGTTTTTTATGGGGTTGTGTTTTGTTTTTCAGAGAGCCTATAGAAGAAGCATCTCTTAATTTTAAGTCATTTCATCTCAAAAGACGCCATTGACCTAGCAGATCAAAGGGCGTATACCCAATGTAATATTTTAAGTTTGTGCGATTATATATCCACTCCAATCACAGTTATTAGATATTATTTTAATGCTGCGTGGAATAATCCTGGAATATATATATACAATCATGGAGAAAAAAGAAGTTCGAGTTGATGTGGAGAAAGAAGACTTTATCCAGATAGTTGGTATTTATTCGCAATTATTATTATTGTAATGATAATTATTTATACCAAAAGGTCATACGAAATGAAAATAAATAGTTGCTTCTAGGGCAATTAGAACGTTTGCATACTTGTGGAGAATAGATTTATCAAAGGTCAATAATAATGTTAGATTTATTATTAAAGAACTCTATGACTTGCAATTGTATACAACCCGATTAGAAGTTCTAAAATTTTTCCGCTAACACTTTGATGAAAAGCTTGATTAAAGTTGTTCCTTAAAAGTTTCATCTTGGTGATATTTCCTTTAAGGGATAATTAATACTGGTGATACAGTTCAATAACATAACAATCAATACATAATAATAATGATCAAATATAAACATCGTAACGACGGGGACATACAAAAAGGAAAAATTGAATAAAACCTTGTTGGAGCACTTGCATGGGAGCCATTCATTAAGAGTATTATCAATTCTTTGGGCATTCTGACGAAAATCCAACTCTCGTTATTCTTTTTATTATTATTATTATCAATAAATAACATTCTTATTAATAATATTGATTTTTCCTTTTTCACCCTTCTTATTATTAATTAGTTAAGATAATGAGATTTAAACTTTTTTAATAATTTGATAATGAAAGTTTGATAAAAGTTTTTCCTAATTTAGCCCTTATTCTTGTATGAAACATATATTAATGTACTGTCTGTTTTGCCGAAATTTACACAAATATCACTATTTTAGTAATCATGTTCCAGAAGAAATTTTACTTCTTGAGCTGTTGAACAAAGAAACAAAGAAAATCTTTACCGAAATAATAAAAGCACTCGGTTTTTTTTATTGAAACACCAAAAATTTTTTCATTAATATAATAATAATAAAAATAATAATAAAACTTTTGAAAGTTCGCCTTCTAAATTTAGATTTTCAGAGTTAAAATGTATATTTATGTTTTTTCTATTCATATTTTTATATTTTTATACAATTTGTCATTTTTTAAATAAAAAAAAAAAAATATAAATAAATAATAACAATAGAACTTTTTGAGAATAGGAGAATAATTTTTTTATTCGCTTCTCCAGTCAAATAAAAAAAGGTGACGAAACTATATAATTTCTTTAATGATTATTTTACTTTTTTTATGCTTTATTAAATAAACTTTTTATTTAAAAAAAAAAATGTCAATTAAATTAGATAATCATATTATTTCATAAAAAATATCAAATGATGCAAAGAGAATACCAAAAAGAGTATGAAGGAACTAACGAAGATGTTGTTCTAAATAGTAAGAATAATGATAATCATAATATAACATTCATAATTAGTAATAGTGATGGTAATGATAATGTTATTAATGAATCACCACGAGAGTCAATAATCAGGACAACATCTAGTGTGTATAATCCAGTTGAATTTTTAGAATATCTTGCATCTCAAGAACAATATTTACCAAATGTTATAGGTGTTGTTGATAATACTAATCAATATAACAATGATAATGAAATGATAAAAAACCCTCATCAAAAATCATCAAGTGAACCTCCTTTGTCAAATACTTATAGTGGCATAAATAAGAGACCTCGCTCTTCACCACTTCATTTATCACCTTTAGAAGAAGTTCAGAATCAAATTGTAGGATTAAAAAATTCTCAATCTCATTCAATACTAGATTACCAAAATAACGGTATCATAGATGACAATATTTATAGTAGCAATATTAATATTATCACTAATAATAATTTAATAAATCAAAATCAAAATAATTTCATCTCTACAGGAGATATTAACAATAATATCAACGTTAGCAATAATGATTATAATAACAATCCACAACCACAACACACTCAATTAGATAATAATACAGCAGAAAATAATAGGCTTAAATTATCAAATGTGCTGCTAACTCGTAATACATCAAGAATTTCTTCTCCAAAATATGAGTCTCCGCCTGATATAATTTCTGCTTACACTGCCCAAATACAAAGCAGCGAAACGCCACTACTAATAAGGGATAATAACATCAACAATGACAATAATAGCAATAAGATCATAATACCATCAAGAGGTGTTTATAATAATAATGTAACTAATGTTATTGATAATAGTAGTATTGATATTAATAATAATGATAGTAATGACAATAATATTAATAATGATAGCGATATTAAATCAATTTTCATTGAAAAAAATAACGAACCCCAGTCTCCAGTATCTCCATTATCTAAATCTACGGATCAGCAATCTTTAATACCAAGTAAAAAACCTAAACCTTACAAAGTAAAATCAGGAGCATTTATAATGTGTTTAGAAATCTTTATATTAGGTGTAATAATACTTGTTTGTAAGTATTGTTATTATTTTTTTTTTTTAATACTTTTTAAAAAAATTTATTTTCTAAAGTATTTAATTTTTTTTAAAAAAACTAAAAGCATGGAAAATTACAGATTTAACAGATGGAAATACAGCACTATTCAATATCACCACAGGAATTGGTACAATTCCAATTATACATAATAAGACAACAACTAATACATAACAAGCGAGAGAAATTGTTAAATCTTATCATTAATTAATTATATATAAAATATAAATTATAATTATTAATTTATTTATTTTTTCCTAGAAAACTTGTTATTAATAGTAATTTTTTGTGTTATTTTTATATATGAAAATATGTAAGGATATTTAAAAGTATTTTTATTTATTATAAAAAAAAAATTAATATAAACAAAAATCACGTTTGATTGTGGCAGTAAGCACATAGCATGCATTAATAGTATATAAGGTATTATTATTTTTTGATCTATGCAAGAGATACCAAGTAAGTGGTTTTAATTATCATCGAAAGTGAAAAAGAAAAAAAAGGAATATTAAATTTTAAAATTACAAGAAAAATATTGAATAGAAAATGAGATAAGAAAACGAGGGGATTGATTGATAGGTAGTTCATTCGTTGTACATTTTTTTATAATTGCTAAAAAATAAATCTGTTATTTTAATTATAATGAGAATAAAAAAAAAATCTTAATTGCGCGATACATTTACATTATAAATAAATTATATCAATTGTATATTTTTCAGATTGTCTGACAACTATGCACAACATACTAATCACTGAGGTAAGAAATATTACCCACTCACCCATCAACCTACCCATCCATACGTACATACGCTTAGAATGATTATACACATTATTTTCATTCAATCGATTTTTAAAATCGGCTACATAAGCGACAAACTGAAGTCAATGGATCGTTTTTAAATAAAGAGCATAAAACAATATCTTGGATCGTTTTTACATTTAATTCTTTATCGTTATAAACGCACTCAACAACATCTGATGAAAATATCGACTGGTTTCTTCCTAGACAGAAAATCGTTGAATAATAGTATTGTGTTAATTAGTCAATGGTACATCTATCACTACTTTGATCTGTCTTACAAAATATATAATCACAACAAGTCATCACCAAGAAACATTCACCTACCTAGTATTATCATATCATTTTTTTTTCAATATTCTCAATCCAAAGATCAATTTCATTTACCATTCATTTTCTAATAAAGACACCAACATTGATTTTTTTGAAAAACATTTCCGATCTCTCGTTACCAAATCGATTGTGATTTCAATCTGGTATTATTTGTGATTCAGGTGACGACAACGATGCATTCTTTAAGAAAACCAACCCGTGTCACTATTATCTTCCATAATACTTTTAACTATTGTGAAAAAATGAGACCTTTAAAAAAAAATAAGGAAAAATTATGCAATACGTGTCATAAAAAAATAAAAACCAAAAATTAGTCTTCTGAAAATTGTTACAGGTCAAACCATTTGACGAGAGCCATTGAACAACCTGAGTTGTAACGGTTTATAAATTTAACGCCTTAAATTTTGGCCGGAAATTAATACTATAATCTTATTGTAATGCTGGCACATATTAGTAGTAGTAGGTAACCTTGACAAGTCGGTTTTGGCCTAACTCGGTCAAAATTTTTCTGCCCTTTTTTTTATATTTGAAATCTCTTGATAAAGTCAGACAGCCCATATTAATATAAGCTGAAGTCTGCTCTAACTATAGTAAATTACTCTCAACAAGCCAGTCTCATGTGATATTCGCAACATGAGAAGGTATTGTGCAAATTTTAAAAGCATAGAACTCAAAACTACTTTATATTTTAAAAATTTAACTTGCAAACTGATAGAATATGTCTCTGGCTTAATGTAACAAAGAGATTCTCTCGAAAAATTATTTTATTCCTTTGCTATGTTCACGAGGAATTTGGCCGCGAAAATCCTGATAAAATTGCAATGTTTATTTTTAAATAATAAATATAATAATGCAATAATTACGAATTTCCTAATAAAACAATTGAATAAATATTATCATTATCATTATGAATGACAGATAAATAAACACAAAAATCATGTGGAATATAATTTTGGTCATTTTTGAAAATTAACTTGGTGGCACAGCAACAGTCTAGTTATTTTGAAAGTTTGGAAAACAAATAAGTCGTATGATTTTAAAAATTTTTGTTTTATTAGAGGTTTGAACAATAAATAAATTTTGGGGTTTTTTTTTATTTTTGGAAATTTGGAAAATAAAAAATCTTACAAGAAAAAATAGAATAAAAATTTGGGAAAGTACTATTTATTTATTCATTTATTATTTTATCATTATTCTATTGATTTTAATCAGGACTGGAGATAATACTTTAATAATCCGGAAAATTTAGCATCCAGGAGAAATTTCCGTTTTTTTCAGACCCTATTTCCAGCCCTGATTTTAATAGTTTATAAATAAAAGATGGTTGACATTAAGTCACGCACTCTTGATAAGTCGGCCTATCATGTCCAGCCATTCGTGACTGACTTATCGAGGTTACCTATGTATAATTAAATGGAAACACAATTTTTCCTTTCTTCTTAAAAACTTATTATTTATTTTATTTGGCTACAAAAATCTGGAAATAAAGTATAAATGCCTCAAGAAGTTCAAAAGTTCAACAATTTCATAAGAATATAAATTGTCCACTTTTCTTCAAAAAGCGAAAATTGGACGAATTTACAATCAGAACATTTGTAAAAACCCAAGACGAAGAATCATCATATTCCACTGGAATGAATTAATAATGACGAGTGAACTTGCTTGCTGTTCCAAATCGATCATTTTCCCAATTGCGAAGTCTCGTTACTCGATCATTGCCTATGCTCTTAAGACCACTCAAAGTTTTAATTTCATATATCTTTCACTGGGTCTTCTGTTTCTATAATATATGGTATCTTGTAAAGGTCGAAATTTATTGTTAACCCGATCATGTCGTTATGATCATTCATTCATTTTTTTTTTTTCATAATAAATTCAACAAATGAAATTAATGAGAATCTTTTTTTTTATTCTTCAAATGTTTTAATGCTACTCTAAAAACAACATTTGCTTGAGATGGGGAGCCAGTATGAGAATAATAGCTTCCATGGATAATTCAGCTAGGAAAAAACGGATAATAAAATGTCTGCTTTAGTTGGATGAAGTTGCTTATGATATTAGGTATGTAACTCGAAATAATCTATCGATACATAAAATAATATTATTAATCCATGTATCTGAAAGCTTTGATGCCTTTTAAGTTCTAGTTACCGTGTAGCTCACCTATAATTTTTAGAGTGTAATTTAATCATCTTTTTCACGGCTATGAAATCACCAAAAACATTGATGAATTTGACTATAATAACATTATAGGTTTAGTTGAGACTCTTCAGTAATGACGTCACAATAAACATGATTTTCCCTTTACTAATGTTAATCAAAAAATTTTTACTTTGGTCGCTGGTTCAAATTCTCTAATAATTGATTGTGCAAGTCACTTTTGATTCACACTAGGATTCTTCTTTGCAAAGGATCTCTTTTTTTTAATCAAGAAAAAAGAAGCTTGGTTGATTTTTTTAACAATCAAAATTTGTAAAGTAGCAAAAAATTTGAAAAAAAAAATCTAATCGCTCAAATTGACATTTGATCTGGGATGAATAAATAAAAATAAATAAACAAACAAGCCAATTCAGCTCTCGAATATTTTATTAAAGATTACATCATTGATCATGAATACATGATAGGATGCTAAGATGCTTCGCATCCAGTGCTAATTTTGAAGCTCTGAACGAATATATGTATGTGATTGGGTCGTGTGATTTTATAATGTTATGACGTCAGAATATCATCGCGCTACTGTATTTCACGAAATTCACTGTTACATTTTTTTCGTCAACATTTTTTTGATTGCCTTTGAGCTTTCCTCCAACAGGATTAATTGACAAGGGTGTAAATTGAAAAGCGAAAATTGCATTATTTAAGGAACAACTTCATCATCATCAAGATCAACAATAAAAGAATTTCAGCATTCTTTTGAAGATTTAAAAATGATAAAAATAGAAAAAAATTAAAACATACAAAAAATATGTACCAAAGCCTATCTTATGTGTTATGTAAAGGTCGTTCTAAATACCAACATTGATCAACCTATGTTGTTTCAAACTGTGACACTAAAGACGGCTCAAGTACATTATCAATATTATTGTGAATAAAGAATTATTACATCATTGTATGTATATTGCAATGATACTACTTATTTGTTATTCCGTTTATTTTCTTTCGAGATAAAAATGCCTCTTCATTTTTTAAAACTATTCTTTTATTATTACATAGGTATGAGTTGGGTTAAATTGATGTTTTTTCGAATTTTCGACTTTTGAAATTAACTATGCGTAATAGTAATACATCCCGGGACACATAATTTAGAACTTTATCATTATTACTGCTAACATCAAGCGTTTTTACTACGTCAAGTGTTTTTACTTACATCAAGGGCTTTTACCTGCGTCAAGGGCTTAATAAAAACGTTGTCTTTATTTTCTTTATTTGATAAAAGCAATAAGTGCAGTTGGTTGGTGCTTTAGTAAAGAGTAACAATTATAGAGCTTTGGTAAAAAACTGCGTTTTATTTGCCTTAATGAGCAAGAGAGATTAGGTCTAACAAGTGATGAATTATCGTCCAAGGTTAATTGGAAATACTGGTAGTATTATTGTAATCATAAACGTAAGGTCGTTATAATTTAGTGCTTGTCAATTAGTTGGTTTACAAATTTACTTTTAGTTCTCAATTACTGCCTCTTTTTAATAACTGTAAATAAATAAATAAAGATGGCTTTTTATAAAGCTATAAAGTTTTTTTATTCATTTGTGATTAAATTGACTTCGATCATTTACCAATTGCAAACTTGCTTTGGTTTATTTAACTGACAAGAGTAGCCCAAAAGTTAAGCCAAAATTGTTAATTAACCAAAATGATATCTCACAGTATCACCATTTAAAAAACTGTAAAAAGTTTATTATTTCAAATATTATTATAAGAAATAAAATAAGAATAAAAATAAAAAGATAAATAATAGTAATAGATTTATAGTGGAGATTAAATTAATCAGTCATCAATTATTTCTTCTATTATTATTACTAGAATTTAAAAAATATTGTTTAG